GGACCGTGCTTTGTGGCATTCCTTGGGGAGGTCTATTTTCAGCAGTGGAATTGTGATGGGTTTTAATGATGATGAATGATGATGGAATTATATTAATATGATACATAAATAAAATGGATGTTACGCGTAGAGTCCATCTATCCATAGAGTCCATTCTATTTATTTAGGTATAAACTCTGATTTTTCATTCCGTAGAATTCTGACAGCTATCATTTTTTGACATGTCAGAGATTACAAACCTTTTTGGCCGGGCACATTTTTCAATTTCAATACGTGTCTGAACATCTGAGTCTATACATACATTTTATTTGTTAGTAAATGTATCCATTTTATTAAGTGCGGTACTCTACATGGTTTTACGGCGAGTGATAATTACGTCCCTTTTCATTACAAACAGTAAAAAATGCACAAGTAAAAATAACATATTTTTATTAAAATCTTTAGTCATCATTAATACTTATATCACTATCTTCATCATCGTCATCATCGCTGACATGAATTATTAAAGAGTCTGCGACTGTGTCAATGAAATCGTCGAGAGTGCACATCTTATCTTCTTCTTTGATTGTATGGCTGATACATTCTTGCCATTTATCAGGAGTAATACTACTTATACTTTCCAGTAATAGTTTTTTAACTTCCGCCATTTTAAAACTTCTGTTGTGTCTTGCGACATGCCCCTTCACTTGAGCCCACACCAATTCAATAGGGTTGAGCTCACAATGATATGGGGGCAGTCTAAGCACAGTAATGCCTTGTGCTGTGGCCATCTCGTCTACAATACACTGTTGATATTTGTATTTCTCCTGACCCACAATTTCCAATAAATTAACTTTTAGCATTTTTTCTTCAAAATTTAAATTTTTTGAAGTCAACCACGCTTGGATATCGCCTTTTCTCCATGCACTCGTTGGTACTTTTTCGACCTTCCTCGAATGATAGGGAGCATTATCCAACACTACTACCGAGTTTGGTTTTAATTTTGGAAGTATTTTTGTGAACCACTCCTCAAATACTTCCCCAGTCATCTCCTTGTGGTAATCTGCCAAGCCTTTTTTTTGCCTCAAAAACTAATAAACCATCTTCCAAAAATCCTTCTTCGCTCCCTATATGGCTAACTATAAGTCGCCCCCCTTTGCCTGTTGGTGCCTTAAGCCCTGTTGTCAAGCCATCGAGGAAAGCTTGTCGTGAAGATTGAATGTTGGTATCACACCACACTTTATTGACGGTATGTCCTGAAAATAAAAATATATTTAATATTTCACTTATACATGAGGACAGTTATATATGCATATAAATTGAAAAATATTACCTGTAAACATGGATTTCTTTATTTATTTATTCATTTTGGTAACAAAAATTTATTAACAAAGTTAATTTAAGTATTACATAAGTACAGAATTCGATTTCCGACTAATACTTTGAAGAAAAGATAGGTTATAAAAAGTTAATTACCACATAATTCAATACTTGCCTTCGTTTACCCACGTTTCATCCTGGTAATATATAAGCCTGCCTTCTCTTCTATATTGTTTAATTTGGTGCAAGTATTTTTGACGCCATAGTACTATCTCCTTGCGATCTGTTAGCGCACTTCGACGTTTGCGACTTGTGTATTTAAAATTTAAATGCTTCAATACTTTTCTTAATGTTGATTTCGACATAACAGGCATGTCTGGATCACCAGTTATCTCTTGGTGAATCTGAAATAAGCATTTACATTACAGTTAAAATGTAGACAGGCAACACAGGTTAAAGTATAGTTTTAAAACAATGGGGGATGTCAGCAACGAGGTGTTAAAGAATTAGCAATAACTTTACCTTTTCAATAGTCGGAATCTCGTTCCTGTAGAAAAACGCGTGAACCTTTCGTCGAGTTGCGGCGAAAGTGAATTCGTCAAATTTTTGTATGAAAGATAGTTGAGGTCCACTCTTTTTCGGCTTTTGAAATTCTTTTGTGTCTTTATATTCTTTGGTAATTTTATAGACACTTGACAGACCCACGCCAGTCATCTCAGAAGTCTTTTTTAGCACATTCCGTTGCACTCCAATCAGTTGTTTGCGGCCAATTTTCTATATTATATTTGTAAATATTTAGAATTATGGTCTTTTCGTTGGGCGTAAAAGCACCACGAGGACGCTTCTTTCTGGGAGAAAGAAAGTCTAAGCCTTGTGCTCTGTCAGATGGGGCTGCTTCCCGGGAAGGGCCAGGTTGTGGCTCCATAACGTTTATAAAAATCAACAAACGATCACAAAACGAAAGGTCAACAAGAAAAAACTTAACAGAATAACAGAAACTTAACAAATATAACAAGATAATAACAACAAATAGCAGCAAACACCGAGAACACATGCGCATTCGAGCATTCAAAGAAGTCGAATGAAAATCAATCAATGTGACAGACGCGACGTGACAGCTAACATTTTTTTAAAAGGTTTTTTAAACCTGGAATTAGTAGACAGTGATGCCAGCTAAAGAATAAAATATTAAGTAATTAAAGTTAATTAGATATATTGTTCGTGATATTGAAATATTTGTTATTTTTGTATTAGGTGACTTGTATAAGTAAATATTTAGATTTACCTTTTTTGTAGGTGAAACATAAAAAATACGTAGCATTTTATTATTTATTGCCCTCAAATGGTTCAAATTTGTCTCTTTTTCGGTGGAGAACTTTTTTAGTAGCAACACTTACGAAATGTCAGAATTCTACGGAATGAAAAATCAGAGTTTAGGTAGGGTATAGAATTTTTATCGATATAATTTGATACACTGTCTTATCCCTATTATTAGTTCCGTGGACGTGCACTTCTGCTGTCAGCGCCAAAATGGTGGAAATCAAATCGCTTCATCATGTCACGGTTTATAGCCAGTCCACCGTACTTGTATATATAGAGATCAGTGTTTTGTATCTTCTAAGAAATTTCACAGTTGGTTAAGCTACCGCCATCTAGTTATTGCTTTATAAAACACATAATACTTTTTAAGTTATAGCTGCTCTGAAATCTCGCATTTTTAGCTACTTTATGTAAATCAATCAAGGTAGTGTGGCCGCAACAAAAAATTAAGCATTATTAATAATAATTCTAATGATATAAAAAGGTATAAAGGAAATACTAAAAACGAAATCATATTCTATTAAGCAAGTTATTGTTATATGTTATTGTATTTATTACCTACATTAAAAATATCGTCATCATCATCATCATTACAGCCCTTCACAAGTCTCCTGCTGAACATAGGCCTCCCCAAGGTATGCCACAAAGCACGGTCCTGAGCCGCCTGCATACATCGACTTCCTGCATGTCGCACCAAGTCGTCACCATCTATTGGGGGTCGCCCTACACTTTGCTTACCGGTACAAGGCTGCCACTCGAGAACCTTTTTCCCCCGTCGGTTGTCGGTTCTTCGAGATATATGGTCGCCACATTGCCACTTCAGCTTACTAATCCGTTGCTCTATGTCGTTAACTCTGGTTCTACTGCGGATATCCTCATTTCTAAGTTTATCACGTAGAGAAACCCCGAGCATAGCCCTCTCCGTGGCTCGCTGAGTGACTTTGAGCGTCCTCATACGGTCAGCACTGAAGGACCACGTCTCAGTTCCGTAGGTCATCACTGGCAAACGCACTGGTTGTACAGTCTCGTTTTCAGGTTTTGAGGTATACCTGATGAGAAGACATGTCGTAATTTCCCGAACGCTGCCCAGCCTAGTTAAATCCTTCGAGTGACCTCTCAGCTGAAGTTGGGCTTACCTAGTGAGACTATTTGTCCCAGGTAAACATACTCGTCAACAACTTTGGCTTAGTGCTCCCAAACAACTACTGTCATAGGTGTGATCGGTGAACCAAAGGTGAGTGATGTACTCGCCAGTACATCACTCACTCCTACTTTCCAGTCCAGTAGCTTGAAAACGTCTTCAAATGCAGCGGTGAAGAAAAGCCATATCGGTGTTACTAAATTAATTAATTTTGTCTTCCAAAATAATAAATAATAAAAAATCCCTTCGTAGTTTATAAATTCAAGTTAGTTTATATTTGCTACATACATGAGGTTTATATTATAAAGAGTAATAGTAAATATAATAAAAAATAGAAGTTTAAAATTTTTTTCATTAGGCAACACTGAATCAAAATGAAAAGAAAAATTATTTATGAAATATGTCCGGCGGATTGTGCATGTGCTTATTTCTTGATTTTCTTGTTGTTTCGTATTTTTGAGTGTTTTATCGTAATATATATATATATATATATATATATATATATATATATATATATATATATTATATATATTTTTATATATATATATATATATATATCTATATATGTATAGGAGGTTAATAAACTAGCTTCCAGGCGGCGCTGTTGTCGCAGCCAATTTTTACGTTAGAGATTCTTATCTATTTCCGTATATACACTTATCTATTACTAAGCGCGCGCCCAACGTGTGGACGCGGCGGCCAAACTACCGCATTTCTTTGATCTTTTACAAAATACCTAAACCACACGGATCTCGTGCCAACTTGTGGGACATCATTCCAATACATACACACACAAACACCCGCTCTACACGAATGCCATTGCTATGTTAGCCAACACGTAGAGCCGTAATAAGTCTATGATCTTTAAAGTTTGCTACACAGAGTAGTTTTTGTATACTTGGTTTGCTGTTTTCAGGCAACAAGCCAAAGAGTGTATAATGGTGTATAATCACTACCGCAACAACACTGACCTCTATATATCCGACAAGCTTCGGCAGCTGGCAACCAGAGCATGTATTATTCAAATGTGATTATATACTCTTTGCTCTCAAGCACTGAGGATGACAACCAAGCGACATCGCCATCTCATACTTATTTCCATTGCATAAAAATATTGACTTATTTTAAGACCTTCGTACACTAACATAAAAAACTGGATAAGGTTTACCTTTTGAACTGCCGGGCAGCAACATACACCTAAAATTTTGTGGTAACGTTGGTGTGTGTTTTGTGAATAAAAATGGCCCCTAAAAGAGACAAAGATCGTAATGACGAGAATTACTGGCGAATGTATATCGAGGAAGCTGTTTTAAATGAAGATAATTGGCGAGTTAAGGTTGTTGTCTTAGAAACTACTGGTAACGAGCAAGAGGCACTCTATTTAAACAAATTCGAGACTTATGCCCAACAAGAAAAAAGATTTGTAATTAAAAATATCTGTAAATCTGAAACCATGTTTATGATTAACCAACTAGGAGGAGAAAAAAAAGTTAAGGATGAATATATGCGGGTATTCGAAGAAGGTTATATGTATATTAAAGAAAAGAAAGATGTTGCCCCTGATGTATTGGCGCTTATAATAAAGTATCTAATTTTGAAAATGAAAGAAGATTACATGTTTGTTCAGCATCAAAAGTTGGTTGTGAAAGAAGGAATGCAAAAGGAATCTTTTACTATGATTGATCGAGCTGAGGTGAAAAACAACAAATCAGGCCAGGTCGTTACTCCAGTTGAAACAGAAAAGTCTTCTCCGACTAAGTCCAAGGAGAAAAAAGGTGAAAGTGAGCCTGTACACCTATCGCCCCTCATAGACGAAGGAAATGAAGGAAAAAAATACGGCACGTTACTTCGTATGAGAGGAGAGGAATGGAGAGACAAAATTTATGTTGATGACTATCCACTTGATGGACCTAATCTTTATGTTGCAATTACAGGATTTATAGAACCATATCTTGTAGAAAATCTTATGAAAATAGGAGTAGCGGTGACAGCTATAGTACAGATAAAAATAGATCCGATATACAATGAAATTTCGTCAGGTTTATCTGCAGGGACCAAAAGAGGGCACAGCGCTACCCAACTAACGATCGAAAAATCATGTACATTTTGGGAAACATTACAACGGTTACGCTTGAGTAAATCTTCAGCTGATCTTTATAAAAATATGGCTTTTATTGTTTTTACTCCACCATATCGTAATAACGAGACTCTATCTAATAGTTCTGAAAAAATTTACGATGACTTGAGTTATCTCATCTATGATATACAAGACTTAACTAGACAACACATTCATTATTTAAACAGCATGGATATAAAATATATACCAACTGAGAGCAAAAATGAATACATTTTAAGATACTATTACCACTATATGGACAAAATTCCGTTGGAATGTGTAAATATATTTTCTATATTACAAAGTATGTTACAAACAGTTTGTGTAAGTCACCCCAATAACCAAACTACAAGTAGGTCTTCGTTGTCGACTGCTTCAACATTAATAGAGTCAAGAATTAAAAACCAGAATAATTACGAAATGGCAGAAACTCTTACTACGGAGGTATTTAAGACCCTGTCAAAACACAATTTATATAAAAGAAAATATCGAGTAACATGCGGAGAAGAATATGATAATTTCAAAGAGCCAGTAGTAATAAAATATGGTGATAGTATCAAATGTACTACATTTCATTTAGAAAATACAGATCTAGAAGATATCGTTCGGTCTTCACTAATTCATATGCCGATCTGTAATTTGTGGAAAAATCACACGTATCCTTCAGAGAACTCAAAAGCAAAGGTGAATTTTCATTTAGATGCCCTTCTTTCATGTTTCGACAGAGACAAAGTTAATGATTCAATGTTAAATAGACTTATTCATATATTATCTTGCCGAAAACTGTACAATAATAGAAGTTCGTTAAAAGAGCATCATATTCCTTCTATCACTATACCCGAGTTTAAGAGAAAGTATTTAAAGCGGAGCATTCTGGCAGAACCGATTCCAAAGAGTCATTCTTTATTATGTACTAGTAGTACAAGTTCACCTCCAACTCCAACATTGGTAAGAAGCGAGAGTTATTCTAAAGTACTTTCTAATAGAAGTGATTCGGAAATTCAAAACGTTAAATTACTCTTTAACTGTCCTGATTTGAGTGAACTTATTTCAGCCACTGAAATATTAAATAATGAACCGCTGGAGCATTTAATTGATAATTATGATTATTTTGAAGATTTCTCTGACACCAGTGCTTTGCTGGTATTGCATGAAGCTTTTACAAAATTTAACTGCTTAAATTACAAATATTGCGAAGTAACGGACAGTTTTGTGTTTATGTTTTATAATAATCACGACAGTGACGGTATTTTATACGACGAATGGCGTTGCCATTTGGTTACACCGGTGTGTTTACAAGATTTTTTTGATTACGTTCTTGAAGAACAGTTTAAATGGATTCAAGACGAAGAAAAAATTCATGACAAAAGCATTGCTCTAGGGATTAAATTAGAATATAATGAATCAATGGAACAAGTGACTGCGAAATCTTGTCTGGAAAATTTTGAATTGGAGTCTGAGTTATTAATTAAAGGTTCTATTAAGTATCATGAGAGAGCGGATGTTGATTATCTTACTAATGAAAATATAGAAAGCGATGAGTTCTCAATAAAAAATAATAGTTTATCGACTAGATCTACCACAGCAGACAGAAAAAGTAATAGGCCTGAAAAAACCTTGGCGCAAAATAGTAAAAAAAGAGTGACGGAAACCGTTGGAGATAGCAATTTAGATGTTGTAAGTGATAATCAAACGAAAGTAAAACCTTTCTTTGGATATAATTTGGGCGATCGAAGATTTGAATTTTTTGGTAAAGATTCGACTTACTTTTCTAAGGACGGAACAAAGGTATGTATTAACTATACGGTAACTGTACCTTTGAACACGGAGCATATAATTTTAAAAATTATTCCCGGTAATTGTAATACTGAATTTGTGATGCATAAATCTTTAGGAGATGTAACTCAATCACAAAGTGGTAATACTTGTGAATCTTTTCGAATTATAAGAAAAGACCAGGTTTTATTCTATATTAGGAAAAATTGGAACAAAACACCAACACTAACTTTTGATGCTTCTTCTTTCATAAAACCCGAGATAAAAGAAAGCATTAATAAAATAAATATGAGTACGAACAGTGGTATGAATGCATATTTTAACGAATTGATATTTTATTCTTTTTCAATCACTTGGCCTAATGGGCTTATTGTAGAGAGTGTACATGAAAACAATTCTCAAGCTATCAGTCATATTAAGCAGTTTTTTATTAGTTCAAAAGCACATTCTGATGAAGATATGCGATGTATCAGTTCAAATGGAGAAGTTATTGTATTTAAGAAATCTGGCATTATAGAAGTGTTTAGACCGGATGGGACGTGTCATAAAATTACAAAGTATGGAAAGAGGCTTCTGTATCCAAATATTATAAACGATAGTCGTACTACCATAAGTTCTGATAAAGTCAATAAAAGGAAAGATAAAAGCAAGCTCAAGCTTAAAAGATCTACAAAGTCATCAAAAAATGTAATAGATCGTAATGAAATATTGCCTGAAAAGGAACATTTGAGTTATAACTTATTTATCGAAGATTTCGAAACTATTGATAGTAGTGGATTAAAACACACGTGGGAAAGTGACAGTCTTATTGCTACAGAAAAGCTATTGGTAAGAACCGCCACAGACTATTATTTAGGAGAAGTTTTATCAAGGCGTATGGATGGTACTGAAATGCTTTTGAATGAAGACTGGGTTTTGGTTGTATCTTTTCCTGATGATACAAAAATTACAACTACTTGTTTTATTGAAAATGAGGAAATTTATCCAGACTGTTTAGAACCCGATCATGGTTTGATAAACACCCATGTCTTTGAATCAGATTTAAAATCGAATGATTTGTTATCAGATAAGAGTTTTACGAGCAGAGGCACATCCAACAGTTTAAATAGTAATGATTCTAGTAAAGTTGACCAAAGAAAAAGTAATAATAGAACTGATGGCTATGTATCTGTTCAAGTAAGACATATAATAGAACATACGAATTTCGCAACTATTACTATCGACAAAGCAAGTGAAAAAATCACAATAGAATCTCCAAACAAAACAAGCTTATCAATTGATAACGCAAATCAATATGCATTTTCATTAGATGAATCAACATTTGCAACATTTGATGGTGAATATTTGGATATAAAATTTGATGCAAGTTCGATGTGTGAATCGTCTACAAATTGTAGAGTGAAAATAAATAATACTGAAAACAAAAAAGATCAAACTTGGCTGTCCATGAATGATTCCTTTTATAAAAAGATTGTAATTGACGAGGAAGGTACGATTAAACTAGTAGATGAACTGAATAAAAAAGACAAAAATCAAGCCAGAGGAGCGACTTATCCTAATGCTAAAGACTCCAACATAATTAGCGACAATAATGCGACACCTCGAGGAAAGTGTAAAGAAATATTTGACGCCAATATGTTGCGATTTTTCGTATTTAATCGGTTAGTTTTAGTAGATGATTTAGATATTAACAAAAAGAAAATACAAATAAACATATGTGCCTATTTCTACTGCAGGGATTTAACCTGTTCAGAATTAGTACACCGTGACCTTGTTGACCAATATAAAGATCACTACCGGAAGCAACCTTGGTGCTTTATTAATCATTACGATACTTTCGGTGACTGCCGGTGCTTACTCTCTTTTCTAACTCCTATTCAACTTACAGAAACTGAGGTAAGATACATTTAATCTGCGTAATTCTTATATTTATGTGAGCATTTCTGATTGAATGAAACTAGTTTTTACGAATATTATCGCACATAACTGACTTATTTTGACGGTTGACATTATAGTTAATATTTTATTCGATTTTAGTATTTTGTAGTGTAGAAAGTTTTATTTAGGTTTATTTTTCGAAGTGTTCCTAATTAATGTTTACGAATATTTTTATATTCCAGACGTTTAAAGTATCTCCCATGGTCAATCAATATTTATGACATCGGGACATTGAACACTGATTGCAAAGTACTCGAAACGAAAATTTACAACGCTATAAAACTCGTAAATACTAGTTTCATTCAAAGCTTGAATAGCTACAAATCGTAACACATCAATTGTTTCTTTTTGTTTATTTTTTATCCACTTTGGTGACATTTTTTATTTTTGATAATGTATAATGTGTACTTATTTTTATGATAAGGTTGAATCGCATAATCTTTGAAATTGAATTCAATTTTATTGGTCCATCTGGGTAAGTTACCAGCCTCTTATCAATTTTTTCGCCGAGCAGTGCCTGGACTGCTGCGTTTCGGTGTAGGGAGTCAGAATAATTATGGGCTGTAAAGCTTTATATCTTAGTCCCTTGATCAGGTGGACTGTAAATTCGTTAGTCAGTTTGGTTTTATAAATGAGAAAGATGATTTAGCTAGGATCAAATATTATAATATTTAAAAAAAACATTGCAGTCGATGTTATTACATCAAATGATGTCATTGCTAACATGGATTAAATCTTTCTTTTTTTTCTCAACTCGTTTATGTGCATCTTTTTCTATTTTTTCATCAGTAGCCGTTATTTCACGCTTGAAGTTCGGATAGACAATCGCCGTCATAGACGTCTCACGTCTTTGACGTTGCTGTCGTTCGACGGGCTGGGTATTTATCGTTTAGTGGATGAGAAATGATTATACGACCACCAGAAACCATAAGATCCCTCTGAAATTTCTTATAATCACTTCTTACGACACTTACGGGATGAATCGATTGGTGGATTCCCTTAACGCCACCAACAGACGTTAAGCTACGTGTGTAATGATGATAATAAGTTATCACATACTTGGAAAATGTACCTGTACAATTCTTGATTTCTGTAGAAGACGGTGTATCACCTCCGTGCCTCGGAAAGGACGTAAAGCCGTTGGTCCTGCGCCTGATCTCTCACCAGTCGTGTTGGTTTACCGTCCCATCGGATTATGAGAGTGCACTTGTGCCTGCGCATACACTTGGGCACTGTAATCCTGTCCTGCGCCGATTGCTAGTTTCAGTTAGGCTAGCCACCGTGGCCGAAATTCGATCTGGAGGACATTATTATGTAGAAGATTTTGTAATATATATTAAATATATATATATATATATATATATATATATATATATATATATATATATATATATATATATAAAGTTTCTTGAACGGTTCACCTGATTTTTTATTCAACAATAGAATATAAGTAGGTACTTTGATTAAAATAAAGTCAAATACATGTTACAATATAGTCAGCACTTTCACAGTGATACCAAATGAATTACATAATTTAATGAATCAACAAAAGTCTACATAATTTAATAAATCTGACAGAAATGGTTGATGCCGTCGAAATATACTTATATGCCGAAACAGTTGAAATACAAGGATTTAAGAACTGACATCGGCAAAGGATTCTACCATTGGATGCGACCATACGAACGGTTCGAGCCTACACCCACAACACTCGATAACTTGACACTTCCAAGACTACCTAGGGCTTATATTTTAAGGTATTTGCACTAATTTATATTTGATATCACTAGACATATAGGAACTACGTGTATATAATTATCATTATCACAATTCATTACTTCTTTGTTTTTGTTTCTTATGAGTCATCCATAAATTACATCACACGTTAAGGTGGGAGGGCATCAAAATGTGACATTGTGTGACGAGGGACAGGGGGATCGGTTAAAAGCTATGGGACGTCACATGTTAAATTCTAAAATACTTAAGCGTTGTACTAATTATCTGTCGATCGTACGAACAAACGATGCGATTTCATCGCACGATAAAAAAGATCGCAATTAGGACACCTGTTGGACCATCCAACAGGTGTCCTAACGCATGCCGTCGCGTCAACGGGACCAAACGGTGCTTTCCATCTCAAAAATATATAGCTTTTTTGTTTCTTGATATTTCGAATTAAAATGTTGTATACTTATTCGTGAATACTTATGCTATTAGATAATTAAATCATCGCCACTTCAAAAACTTTATTTACCAATTTGGTAAAAAAATTACGAAACTAAAATTTTGAAAACTTTAATAAGTACATAAATCAAACAATGATTTCTTATATTTACGCAAACACTACACATTTAAATAAAACTAGTTTTTACAGATATTATCTCGTATATTAACTTATTTAGTATTCATTTGCACTTTTTGCACAATTTTTTTACACTTTTAGGTCTCTAATCGTTTCTAAGTTCTAACTCGACTCACCGGTGCCCTTGTGTCGCTGCGCTCGAATGATGACGCGTGACCATTTACGACACTCAAAAGAGATTTGTAGCTTTGACTGTACGATCGTACGACCAAACCCATCGTATAGGTTGTGCCACGTAAGATGAAATTAAATAGAGTCCACTGCTCATTTTATGTACACTTAGTTAAAGAAATAAAATATTTTGTATTTGTATTTTTGTATTTGTAATTGCTATTTAAACTATACTATGCGATAGCCTTCGATTATAAGGATATTTTACATGCACTAATTTGCAAAAAAAATCATCTTGTAGAAAATAACAAAATATTTACAACTTTTTACAATATACTACGAACTACGCTATTTTAATTGATCCCATAATAATTTATAAAGTAATAAATATTTCCAAACTATTTGAAAATGTATAATATAGAACATATAGAACAATATTTTTAAAAGTACAAAAATAATCGCAAAATTTAAAATTTTATAACAGGTAGTCGCTAACACTTTCGATATCGATAGTACACAAGACGACACAAGAAGGTGCGCGTGCGACGGGACCAGACGGGACGCAGGAAGAAACTACTTGGGTGTAGCGCGTCGTCCGTTGCTATGGTTTCGCTTCCCCGTACCTCACACCTCACCGTGCCGAAACGAAACCTATTTTTCGGTTCTGCGCACTTCCATGACTCGTGGCGTTGCCTATACGATCATTAGCATTTCTTGTGCACGCACGATCACTTTCTAGCTTTAATTAAGACATTCTAAATTGTGTGTGTGTGTGTGTGTGTTTAATCTAATCGTTTGTTCGTATGATCGTTGCCCATTAGGAGGACGCCTAAAATATTATAAATTTATATGCCAGCGATAAATAATATCATGGAGTCGTTCCAAAGTCCGTGGAATCAAGATGATTAAGTTTTGTATTTTTTATTAACATTACGAGTATTAAATAGTTTATCGTTCTTTAATTGGTCTTTTGTTTTGTCTATTATCTGAAATATGCAACTTTATTTTGATTTTATTAAAGATTATTTTTATTTTAAATTAAAAACAAATAAGTATGGAAAAAGGAGGGATTTTCACAAGTGTGACCTTCGATGAACAAGTTGGTATTGTTGATCGAAGAGTGTGACCATCTGTGACACGGACGGGGCATTCCTTATTAATTAATTATGCTTCTGACTCGCAATTAATATGGAAAATGGAAAGAAATATCTACCTAACGGTTCTTAATAAAGAAACGTAACCTTATTAATAAAATGTGATCTTACAGTCAATATAGTAATCACTAATAACTGATCACTGCCCTTTACTTCCATTTGCCGTAGCCAAGGACACGGGCAACTGATCTTAGCAGTAAATATTATATCAATCACCAAAGTTCCCATTGTAATATATGAAGTTATTTCTTAAAATGTCACGGAACATACTTATATTTTAACATTTTCATACTGCAAAATCATCAATCGATGAAAATTTATCAAGAATCGCTTGATAAACTGACTTTTCTGACTTGAGAAGTATATAACACAACCTTCATCTAAGTTTTTGATGATAAAATATCTCAATATCTCATCAGCTCATCACATAAGTAGTATGTAGAGCTAGTAGTTTAGTAGTATTTTAATTGAAAACTTATTACCATCGAATAATGACATATTTACATATGATATTTAAAATAATTAGTCTCACTTGTTTCCATATATTTTTATACCACAAATTCTGTCTCACTTTGTAAAAATGAATCATCATCATCCTCATTATTGTTTTCTTTTTTAAAAACATGTAATAACAATCACTCTATCTATTGACATCTATGATTTCATCATTATCATCATCATTACTGCCTTTCACAAGTCCACTCCTGAACATATTAGGTATGTCTCCCCAAGGCATCCATCGACTTCCTGAATATCTTACCGGGTCGTCATTCCATCTGATTCAATTTAAGTAAAATACTTATAATAACCAAAAAAACCAAGGTATTAATAAATTTGTGGTCGTGGTGCAATAATAAAATAAATAACACCAAATTGAAAATCAGGTTCCTTAGGGCACCTGTATCACATCCAGAATGAGTTTATTGTCAACAGTGTTGAATATACCATTGCTGGATACTTGTCTCTTCTCATTTTTTTAAAGGAGCTTGGATGGAGCAGAATAGAATCTGCCGCACAGCCCCAATAAGTAAGTTCTGGCAGGCTTCACACATGACCTCGAAATTTTATCAATTTCTCAGATATGTAGGTTTCTTTGCAACGTTTCTCTTCACTTATTAAAACAATTAAATGGTGATTAAACTCAGTATTCGCGTTCCACAACATTTTAAGTTTATTGACTGAACTAGCACGTCTGGAACTCTTGATATGGAACTTTTGAAGTATTGTGTTGTATATATAATTTATTTTATATTGTTTTGTTATTAAGAAGTGTTTATCGTAAGATTGCCTCATAAGGACACGCTTGATTTAACATATAGGCATAGCATCTTAGACGATATATTATATTTTTAAATGATTGAAAGTCTGTTTTTACCTAAGGACTTTAGAACAACTATGGGGTGAGGAGATGAGAGAGCAACTAAAAGGTGCCAAGGAGTTGGTCAGGGCAGTGCTTGGGTATTGTCGTTTGATGGAGTCGGAGTGTCAAAAAATCCTGGAAGTTCCAATTAGAGATCCTCGCCCGGTAGAAGAGAGATGCATCGACGAAAAGTTGCAAGATATCGCGCAAAGGTCTGACATATTGAAACTATATATTTATAATGTCTATTTGTGGGATAGTAGATATTCTTACACCGCCACTACACGCTCAAGCAGCACACAAGTATTATGATCATCAAAATACCAGCCCACATAGAACTTAGAGGTCTTTAGAAGCATAACAATGTAAAAAAGAGTTTGTATCCTTATAAAAGTGGTTTGTGAGTTATTATACGGCCCAAGCTGTATATTTTCAACCACGGATTTCAGAAATACCATGAAAGAATCCACTTTTGGAAGTTTTTCTAATTTAGCTTGCACAAAACCAGCTTCTGCTTTATTAGCACTCATATTATTTACGTTCAATACCTAAACTATCATAAAATTACACTCTAGCAACACTTTATTTAAATAAATTGTCAAATGTAGTGCCCAACCGAGTCTCCGCAAGCTGTCGAATCGTAAACTATGAGCGTCATCGGATCCATCACAGTGAAGTCACGCGGACCTGTGTACATTGACTTTTAGCGGCAGGAACAGTCTATGTTTATTACTTAATATCTCGTAAGTAATGGGCCGATTTGGATAATTCAAAAAGATATATCATTGTTATGTCATAAATAATAACGTGGATACTAGTTTTATTAAATTTTCCATAACTTTACTGATCCTCATTTAAAGCTGCATAAGTGATAGAATATCGCCATTTTGCATGCGTTTCGTGTTTATATCTATATTGTGCTACGGGACGAAATTAATCTGTTATCAATATGTTGAAAAAGAGAAAAAGATTTGGTGCACTTAGTAGCAGATATATTTGTTAGAAGAAAATGTTAAATCTAAATAAAAGTTATCCAACACAGTTCCTAAGGGAAGGGTTTTATCTTTTATATCTATCGCTAAAGAGACTTATATGTTACTTTGAAAAAACTGCTATACAGCGTAAGTAATAAAAATGTTCTATTATGCAACTGATTATAAACCGATTGCTATGATAGAATCTATAACATACATAGTACAGCTACTGAGACTATAAGACTATCGAAATACCGATTAGGCTGTTTAACAAATTGTCGCCATTTTAGGATCAATATAATAAAATTTAAAATATAATTTTAGGAATATATAGTAGACATTATTTTTAGCCTATATCATTATTTTCAGTTTGACTAATGATCACTGTGCCCTATGTTCCTTAATATCTATTAATTTAATAAATTTTTTATTCTAACCTATACAACTGATGTTTCGGACGGCAAGGACACGTCCAGTGCCCGCAGTCGCCCTGGGACAGTCTCCCACTTGATGACGTACGTTCCTTGCTTAGTGCTGGTGACGCACGTCCTACGCACCCCTGAATGAGTATGTATAATACGACCCCACTGGGACCTCGAGAGAGAGAGAGAGAGAGAGAGAGAGAGATAGACGATCAGCCGGGACGAGGCAATTAAATCAAATCAAATCAAATCTTTTTTATTTTCAGACAATATAGGTCCATAGGGGTTAGTAATTAATTCTATTTTCCTAGGTAGCTTCACAATTTTTTCCTAGGTAGCTTCTTGTTCCTTAGGTTTCGGCTTCCTTTTTCCTTGTTGTTGTGCCTCTTCGAAGGCTGTGCTGCGACTGCGATTTGAGCTTCGTAATGTCTTCTGCATGGACTGTGGAGTCCTGCAGGTCTCGGGCCTCGGGGTATGCCCCCATTGCCCGGACTTTCCTCATGGCCCACAACTATGGGCCAGTCTTTTTTAGGCTTGGTTGTCAAGGGATGGATAATCCGTAGTCGGAAATTTTTTTCGTTGCATGTCGTTTATAGAAGGAGGTTGTCCAGTAAAAGTCGGAGTTGGCCTATCAGCGGCATTGTGGGTTGTTACTCGACTCTCTAATCGCTATAGAGAGGAGTTCTTTTGAAAGAGGTCGCTCGTCCGGGGGCCGTGTGTGCAACGGCGCGAAGCCGTTGAGGTGGTCATGTGGCCCGTTGTCGGCGCGGTCGAACATGCCGCGCGCCAGCCGGGCCACGAAGTCGGTGATGGTCTCGACTTTCAGATCGGCCGCTATGACGTCATTCCGGACGTAGCGGCCTGCTCCGACGATCGTTTTTAATGACAGGTTCTGCTGGGCCTGCAGTCGCCACCTCAGAGGGTCGCTCAGAAGCGCGTACCAGGTCGGAGCAGCGTAGGTGATAATGGTACGAAATACAAGTTGTATATCAGGAGCTTGGTTTTTATTGGCAGCTTGGGTGCCAGGACTGGCAAGAGCGTCGCCCGCGCACATCTGGCTCTACGGACGACGAAGTCGACGTGCGCGGCTATGCGCAACGTCCTGTCAATCCGGCACCCAAGGTAGGTCACGGCCTTCTCGTACGCGATCTTCTGGCCATTGAGGATCAGCGGAGGTGGTAGTTTTCTGAGACGGCGAGCGAGCAGAGCGGTCGTCTTACCAACGTTGACGACCATCCTCCACTCGTCCAGCCATGGTGGCAACAGGTCCAGCAGACGCTGCATCCTGGCAGTGGCTATGTGGGCTCTTCTGGACGAGGTGAAATAGGCGCTATCGTCCGCATATAGCGCCAGCTCAACGTCGTCCTCCCACTCTTGCAGCCTGCCTGCCAGTGTTGGGATGTCATTAGTATAAGCCGCGTACAGGACTGGAGACAAACAGCTGCCATGTGGAACGCCGGCTCCGATGGATCTTGTTGCGGACTCAGCGTCCTCTACGCAGAAGTAGAACTTCCTATCTTCCAGGAAAGACGCCACTAGCCGCAACATAGCAAGAGGGGACACTGGTCTGTTCGTGAAGCTTGTAAAGTAATCCTGAGTGGTCACCGGCCACGGTTGTACTCTGCGCAAGCAGGTGCAGCACTCTAGTCAACTGTGTGACTGTAGAGTGACCCCTCCTGAATCCGTGCTGCTCCACCCGAAGTTGGATGCAAGGACGGAGACATCTTAGCAGCAATCTTTCTAGCAGTTTAGCTATGTGCGGTAATAGCGTGATCGGCCTGTAGCTGACAGCTCTACACCTGTCCTTCCCGGGTTTCGGCAAGACGATAACTCTGCCTTTCTTCCAGTCCTCCGGGAAGTGGGATGTCCGCAATATCCCATTGTAGAGTCGACCAAGCTCTACTAGGACTCTATTGGGCAGCTGTCGGAGTGCAGGGTTGGTAATCCCATCGTGCCCCGGCGCCTTCCTCGGTTGCAGGCGGGTTACTGTTCTCCGCAGTTCAGCGGGGGGAGATGAACCACTCTCCTGCAAGCGGTGGCGCGGGCGACGACAGGAACTCCTGTACGCGACTTTCCTTCCGGGCATGAAGCTCCATGAACTCCGCACTGGCTGGGGTCGGCATAAATTGCTCCTTGAAGTGCTCAACCAGGATGGATATCCGCTCTGCCCTTGGCATCGCAGCAACGCTCACCCGCGCTGTTGGTCAGCGGGCAAACGGGAGGTCTGGTTTTGATCAACTGTCGGTTCAGTTTGTAGAGCGACGCGTCATGCTCTTCAGTTTTCCATATGCGCCGCTTCCAGGCCTCACCTCTGTAGGACCTGGACTGCAACCGACAGTTCCTCCGATATGGTGTTAAGTTGCGTTTTTAGTCTAGGGAAGCGAGTACGCACCCAGAGCTTCCTCAACGCTCTCTTGCGCCTGATCTGCACGCATATCTCTCGCGGCAGATCGTCTCGCCTTGCAGTGATCGGGACGATCGTATAGGCCGCGTGGAGGGCCTCCTGGATGTTCTTGGTAATTCTAGTAGCAGCGGCCTCTACGTCGTCCGCTGTGCTTATAGGATGGTGGACTGGAGGTTTCTCCTGCAGATGTTGACAGTAGAGCCTCCAGTCAACACGTGTCTTGAATGCTCTGGGCGGCGTAGTCACCGCCTTTAGGCCAAGGGTGATCAGAATCGGGAGGTGCTGTGAATTCAGGTCGTACAGCACCTCTACCACTATCGGGTAGTTGACGTTCCTAGAGAGCACGATGTCCAACACACCCCGGACGTCTCCGTGGATCTGTCGGAACGTGTGTTGGTTCTTCGGGACCTAAAACGTCGTAGTTGTTCTTCTCCGCGTCTTCGTAAAGTTCATGACCCGGCGGGTTGATCACTCTGGATCCCCACGCCGGGTGTTTGGCGTTTAGGTCCCCGGCGATGATGGTCGGTGTTTCGCCTTCCATTACCGTCCGGACGTCTGAGGAGCAAAATGGAGTCCCTGGCAGGCGGTATGCTGCGTAGATCCTTAGTTCCTCGCCCGCCGCCTCCATTTTTATACCGATAGAGCGCATTGTCTGGTATACAGGTAAGTCCAGCTCTTGATGGACGATGTCCCTCCTCACTAGAACCGCCGTCCCTCTATAGACGGCCCCTTGAGAAGTGACCTCGTCCCTTCTGTATAGATGGTAATTTGGCGACTTAATGTGCGTCTTGGGGTTAAGCTTAGTCTCTCCCAGCAAGATGACATGTAACTCCTATTGTTGGGCGACTGTGCGGAGTTCATGCAGCTTCTGCCGTATTCCGTCCGGGTTCCAATAGATGAGGCGCAGATTACTCTCCTCCGTAATGCCGGGCCAGTAGGTTTGCCAGCGCCTTCATAACCGCCGTTATCGGGTCGGTCCCGGCTCTTATGTCGGCCAGGACCTGACTGCCGACCTCGATAGCAATGCCAACCAAACGTTATATGGCGTCTGCTGTCTCGAAGCCGGCAGATGGTGTTCTCCTATACAAAGGCGTTGGCACTGGTCTCGGGAATTGGTCTTTTTGCACTCCTTGCTTGTGGGTAGAGCGCGCTCTATGTGTAGAGCGGGCTCTATTTTCTGATAGAGCCCTTTCTGGCACTCTACCCACGCTCTTCTTGGGTATCTCGCGAGTAACCTGCGCCTGTGAGGCTACTGGTCCTGCTGGTGTCGGGGTAGAGGTGACAGCCTGAGGAGGCTGCGACTTCTTCCTGCTCCTCTCCCGCCTCCTCCTTCTAGAGCGCTGCCGTTCTGTGGCGGGATTGGCGGGGGGCTGTAGTGTTGCCCCGGTGGTTGCCCTTACTTCTACGGCTTCCACCGTTTCCATAGGTGTTACGGGTGGGGGGGGGGGGGGGGCTGGTTGCCTGCCCTTTCCTGTTACGGTGGCCCACCCGTCTTCTCGGATTGTAACTGCTCTTGGGCGACTCTGGGTAAAGAAAAAACGACCGACGAATTGAGAACCCTCAATTCGTCTGTCGGTTTTTGTTTATTTTTTTTATATATTTATAAAAAAAATAAACAAAAACCGACCGGCATCTATTTCTGGAATAATCTATTATTATTATTTTAATATTTCATGGATTGGAATTTTTAGACATATTTGTGCATAAATTAAAACTAATTGACTTTACATGCTTACTTTTAGATGGCGCCAATGTCGAATACTGAGAGATAAAGAAAATACCGTGAAAAAATAAAACAAAATTCAGAAAAATACGAGGACAAAAAGAAGAAGCATAGAGAATACATGAAAGCTGCTAGAAGACCAAATGCAGAACTGACTGAAAAAGAAAAGGAAAAAAGCGACGAGAATGGAGACTTCCCAAAAAAAAAAAAAAGTAGGTGGTGTAACAAAACCAAAGAACAACAAGTGTTGTGCATTAAATGCACGATTATGTGAAAAATTGAAGAAGCGAATAACAGATCAAAAGAAAGTTATAGATAATATATTGCTGAAGAAACATGCTTTACAAAATAACCTATATAGACATAAAATTAAAATTGAAGAGCCGCAGCTCTTCAATTTGCGCACAAATTGATCTCAAATTCAGAACGAACGGAAAATAAATCTTTAAAAAACTCATCAGACAATAAAACCAACAGTGAATCTGTACCTACAGACATTAATGCACCAACTACCTCATCCGGACTGACCACAACTGACAAATCTAAAAATGAAGATTTACGTGAAAAAACTCCCATGTCTAAAACATTATCCTTTATAAATGAAAATATTCCATCTATATCCACTCCTGAAAAAAATAAAGTTAAAAAACAGATCCTGCAGCTGAATGTGATCAGTGCTTCGTTACAGACAGCATATGAAAAACATGACAATAAATCAAAACAGATCCTAAAAGGCATTATTTCATCCGAAGCAGTAGAAAAATATAATCTGAAAACTGATATTTCGAAATCATTGGGACTGAAAGGAAGAGTAAGAAAATTTAAGAAAAAGGAGAGGACATACAAAGAAGCTAAAGAAATACGTATTTTTTTCAACAGGGATGATAACATTAGAATGACAGCTGGCAAGAAAGAATGTTTTGGTAGAGGTAATGATAAATTACAGAAGCGATTCTTGCTTACTTCATTGAAGAAACTTTACACAAAATATGTAAGCGAGGGAGGAAAAGCTTCATTTTCAACTTTCAGAAAAAATAGGCCAAGAAATGTGGTACGGCCAAAGTTGAGTGACAGAAACACCGTTGCATGTATAAAGCACAGTAGTTTAGCCTTCAAAGTTGCTCATTTAAAGAAAATTGGCGTTATAGATACTTCCGATTTGCAAGAATTACTTGCATCGAGTGTATGCAGCGTTGAATCGTACGACTGTATGTATTTAAATTGTGGAAAGTGTAAAGACAACAATCCTGAAATGAATTTGATAGATATTACAAACAATACAGAATGCACATCGATACAGTGGATTAGAAAGGAATTTACGTTTGAGAAGGGAATAGAAAGAAAAATTACTACTACAAAGAAATATGTTAAAGAAAGTATTAAGGGTACATTTTCAGAACTCAAAGAAATGTTTTTAGCTGATCTACGTGCATTCCGGCAGCATTTCTTTAATGTAAATCATCATCACAAAAAATATCGAGAAGTGATTCATAACCTACTACCCAATGAAGCAGCTCTAATAATAGATTTCTCAGAAAATTATTCCTGTAAATTAGGAGAAGAGATACAGGCTCTTCATTTCGGAGCATCAAGGGGCCAAATTACGATCCACACTGGCATGGCATATTTACAAAAAAAAAGTTCCTTTTGCTTCTCCGTCCGACTGTAACTTACATGAACCTGGAGTCATCAGAGCCCACATAGAACCTATAATTGAATTATTATTAACAAGCAATCCCGACATAGATACCATACATTTTTTCTCAGACGGTCCAAGTACGCAATATAAACAAAAAAAATTTTCCAGTTTACAGAGTTATGCAAAAAGTATAAATTAACTTTTGGAACCTGGACGTTTTCCGAAGCTGCGCATGGCAAGTGTGCTGCCGATGGAGTAGGTGGTGCTGTAAAAAGACTGCTGCATCAAAAAGTGGCATGTGGAAATGATGTTAGCTGTGCCGACGATGCGGTGTCTATTTTAACTGAAGAATCATCTGTTACAATATTTTCAGTCTCTGAAATTAACATTCGGAATGCACAGAACCAGATACCGAATGACTTGGATCCAGTACCACTTACTACTCGATTACATCAAATTACTTACCATGTTCCATCAACAACACTAAGGTACCGCAATGTCAGTTGTTTCTGTGAGTCATCTTTGCCAAGAGGGATTTGCGAATACTACAACGCGAAAACTAACGTCCTGAAAAAAACTATAGTCCATAAGATAAATTGTTCAACCAATGTTAGTAAAAGGATGCGCAGCAATGAGGAAGCTGGGCAATTGAATGAACGCGGAGCAGTGCTGCCAGAAATTCCCGTGGTTTCACATGGAATATCAACCAATGACATTGACATTATACATGACGAAGGTGGAATTTTTCAATCGAAAACAAAAAGCAAGTAGTTGCATCATTCGGGAAACTGCTGGAACAAAAATTGTATTGATGGTGAAAAATCAGAATTCACTTAATATTAACACTAACGTCTTGACGACTGTAAAAAAAAACCTAAGATTATGTCGCAAGTTATAATTCCGCCCTCAAAATGTACCCCAAAAATTGTTACCAATAATGAAAATAAAGAAAACTTATCATCACTTAACACTAAAAACTATGACCGGCTTAAACGAAAAACAAGAAAAGAGATTAAAATAAAAGATAAGAAGTTAAAAAGAAGAAAAGAAGAAGATGAATCAAGCAATAGTGACATCGCTATGAGTGTCCACAGTGATTCAGATATTTGCGACGTTGCTTCTGAATCAGATAGCCCGGATATGCAAGATACAGATTTTAATATTAATAAATCAAAATCTGAAGGCTGCAAAAAAATTTAAAAGTTAAAATTGAAAATACTAAAACTTGCCTTATCCCAGATACTATGTTGCATTTGATTAAACCAGTTGCTTTAGAGGCGAATCAAAATCTAGAACCACAGCCCTCTTCAAGTTCCAACTTAGAAACTGTTCGTATTGATTTAAAAAAATACGATTATGTATTGGTTAGATACTTTTTTTAAAAAAAGAGTGGAATATTTTGTAGGCACAGTTTTGAAAAAATTTGTCAATGACAAGGCAAAAATATCTTTTTTAAGAAAAGTTGGCAAAAATGACAATACAAAATTTATTAGGACAAAGTCAATGGAAGTGGAGCTAATAGATTGTAAGAATATTGTCAAGACTGTAGAATTAATGTCGATCAATGAAAATGAGACTGATTTTGTATTTCTTGACGACGATGATTATATATATTTTGATTAAAGAATTACATAATTATCACTCAAGTTAGTTGTAATAAATATATTAAAGTTCCTTTTTTTTGTTTTGTTATTTTCACCGCCTAAGTAATTGTTTTGAGTAGGTTGTAGTTTTTAAAGCATGTTTTCGGTGGTGAACTTGTTAAAAATACATTTGTTGATGTTAGCAGTTGTGTCAGTCTAACAATATGTACCTATTTGTTGTTTCAATGTGAAAGCATCCTATTATTCCTGTGAGTAACATTTTCTTATCAGGTGAGTAACGTTACCACCCGGACTTCATGTGAGTTGCGGTCGATTATTCTGACTTCTACCCTTATTACTTATTTGTAGTGAAATAGTTTTCCTGCACACCAAATAACAGCTATTATACAGGCTCTTTTATGTTTGTACAGCTACTGTACAGCGCTACTAACGCATGCAGCTGTATAATTTGTGAAAATATTTTACTTATAAGAACTGTACAAGCGCTTATACAGCATTTATACAGCCATAATTACAGCCGCTAGTACAAAAACGAACTTCAATACAGCCTGTATACAGCTTGCTTGCTGCTTAGGCGGTGTGTACTTAATTACCAGATGGTTACTAAATATGTTTTCTCTGTATCCTCGTCCGGTAGTCCTCAGAATTTTAAAACATCAGCCTTGGCTCATATAACCATTACGCGCTGCCCGTAATAACTTACGGAATCAAGACGTGGTTTTTCCTTGCAGGCCGCATTTGGAAGCTCACTATCCTATAGTTATTCTCCGCGTGATAAAACCCGTAAAGAAAACATAAGGAGCAGAAAAAACAAACGGTGACTGATATAGCAACGGATAAGTTAGATAAAGTATAAAGGTTTTAGAGTATAATCTTACCATCTAGCGCAGTACTGTGTGAATAATCTCTATTAGCTATATGTATATAAGCTTAATGAAACATGCCACGTTCTTGGCATTTTATGGAGGAGACGGATGTTCAGCAGAAAATTTGTGATCGTCTGTAACGATGATGATGATTACATTTAGTGGGTATTTAATGCACCGTAGGAAGTTTTTTTAATAATTACAATTACAATTAGTACTTAATAACAGAAAATATTTTACAGTGTAGTGAGAAATTGTGTTATAAGAGAAGAGTGTAGTTTGCAAGATGATGTTGTGACCAGGATTAAGAAAGGAGTGCTTCGGTAGTATGGTCATGTAGAAAGAATGAATGAGGAAAGAGTGACAAAGCAAATTTATGTTGCAGAAGTGAACGGCTGAATCGGAAAGAGACGTCCCAGGCGAAAGTGTATTGACCAAATTGGTGATATTATGAAAATGGGCCGAATTAGGAGTACCCTTAACTGACGAGCATGTATGCATAGGTATATGGATGTGGAGGAGGCGAGAGAGGTGTGTCAGGATCGTGCCAAATGGAAGTCTCTAGTCTCTGCCTACCACTCTGGGTGAAAGTCGTGAGTGTTTATGATTTTTAATGATATTTTACGTATTACTCAAAAGGATGTACGAAGACCTCAAGAGTCAGCTTGCTGATGATATTCAGAGTCGAGCCAAACCTACAATTACAACAAAGGCTCCAACTCCACGCCAGAAGTCTGCGAAGAGTGATACTGATGAAGGTTTGTCAATAGAATTAATAAAGCCTTGGATATACTTGGGGGGAAAAGGAGCGGCATGTTGCGCAACATGTCGCTCAACAACTACGTGGAATGTCCCGAGACATACGTCGTGGAACATTTTGTCATTTCTTTATAGAATAAAAGTAACAAGCGAGCACACTGTTCATCTGATGATAAATGATGAGGATATTGTTGCCCATAGACATTTACATCTATCCTCAATTAACAAACAAAATACATCTACACTCTGATCACACACTGAGGACTAAGACAAAATGCCACGTTTCCATTTAAAAGGGCCTCCTTTCATCTACACTTAGCATACGAAACACAGCAGCATTAGGCTGCTATGTTACGCTGGTATTTTTGAGAGCGTGATCCTTCCCCGGTCGAGCCAACCCATTCGTGCTACAATGATAATAAAGCTGCAGCGTGGCTCTACCACGAACTCTTTAACGTATTGGCTACGTACCATTAACATATACAATTGATTTTACAAACCACATTAGAAATGGTTTTGCAGGGAACACCTGATTGACAATTGTTATTATTATCTTTCATGTATATCTTAGTATTATAACCCGTTTTAAACAACTTTCATAAATTTCTGAGGATTTTTTCAAAATTCTTAATGATATTTTTGGCATTCCATAGTTTGTATTTTACGGCAACCTAGGGATAAAATGTATTGCTGGCAGTGCCGGATTAACCACGTAACAAGGTTAGCAAAACGTTGTAGGTACATTGAATTTACTTCATATCACAAAAACGTGTATCTATAGCCAATCCACGTAGAAAATTAGCAACCGATTAATTCGTTGGCGAAAATAAACACAGAATTCCATACGGTAAACATACAAGTTTCATGCCCACCACGCCGTAGGTTTTGGTTGTTGTACTGCTGTTCATGTGGGATTTGTTTAAGAAAGAAAGAATGAATAACTTTATTTGAACTAACAAAGAGAAAAAAAACTCAAAATATTACAATAAAAAATAAAATGGATTTTTGTGAAGTCATATTAGGTCCCTATTTCAGCTAACTGCTGCTGTACCTTGCATTATAAATGCCCAATATTCACTTCACGGACGGTCATACATTACTTAAAGCTAAAAATTAAAAACAACCATTCTGAGAAGCGAGTGGGGAAGGAATCAGTATAAAAGAGGTATTATTTGGAACTAATAATACAATGTATAAGTGAACTGTACACTTGCATATCACATATATATCTATACATGAATACATACGTATATACATCATACACATTTAAATGTACGTACATATACATTATAAAATGCTCAGAAGCTCAACATCATATAGTATATTATCTAATCTTAATAAACTAAAAAAACTGAATTTAATTGTAAAGACTTTACGATTTAACAACCTTATACAAAAAGAAACGAAACAGTGAGTAAACTGAAAAATTAGTGAGGGCATAAAAAAAAACAGTAAGTCTTATCCAGCAATTTTTCCAGCATTAATTAGAGGACCTTTATATTGTGCATGTAAAACAAACACAAAAAAAGAGAAAAAAATTACTTTTAAAATTACGGGCGATTATGGTCTTGTTTTAAAATTGCTGATAGTTTTTTTGTTTACGAATTTGCCTTGGTATATGGTCTGACACAACTGGTCACTTCATCCACGCAGATTCTAAATGTGGAGGATCATACACTTTCTCTGTTGAACCTTCTGCTGATCTCTCATCTGGACGGATATCATGTTTCTGTCGATGCTCCTCTTGACTCCTTGTACCACTGCCTGATCCAGAGTAAAGTGCCCATCACTTGCTCATTTCAGGCGTGATCTGTAGGCTGCCGCCGTGTGTGGCACTATAGGTCAGCGAATTGATATTCGATGCGGACTTTTTGCATCCTACACATTGGAACGGATTTGCTTCTTGTTGGATGATCTAAAAAAATCGTTGCTGAGTCTGTTGCCGATGTGCTGTCTCGGGGAATGGGACTTTTTATCCCGTCATCTGTAGTGCCTATAGGCGGTAGATCCCTAAGTTTGGACGCTCCTGCATAATTGTTTCGCGGCAAAAGCAGGAGTGTTACAAGGCCTGGGCTGGCTTATACAAACTTAGTTTAATAAAATTTTTGAATTTTGCGTATGACTAATTTTGTATATTTTCTGGGATTTTGTTGTAAAAGCGTATACATCGCCCCAAGAATGAATTACTGACTCGGTGGAGTCGAGTAACTGGTACTACTAGCTTGTGTCTGTTCCTAGTATTTACAGAATGAATATCACTTATTTTTGCAAAACTACGTTTATTCTTGTGTACGTACATTACATTTTCATAAATGTATTGAGAGGCCAGAGTTAATATATTAATTTCCTTAAATTGTTGTCTCAGTGACTCTTTTGGCTTTAAATTATATATTGCTCTAATGGCTCTCTTCTGTATTTTATGTCGGACCACCACTTCCAGCTTTACCAAGCGCAGATTCGGCCTCATATAGAATACTGTTCTCATCACTGGGCCGGGGCACCCCAGTATCAGCTCCATCCACTTGACCATATTCAATGGAAAACGGTCCGTATCGTCAGCGATCAAGTTATTTGCGATCGGCTTGATCCACTGGCCTTGCGAAGAGACGTTGCATCTACTATCGCATATACCACGGGGAGTGCATAGAGAAATTGTTTGGATTAATTCCAGCTGCTGAATTCCACCATCGTACACTGCGACATAGTTCGAAATTCCATCCTCATCAACTCGATGGCTGGCGGTCCACAATTTCTGCTTCGTGCGACCAAACTGTGGAACTTACTGTCACTATCGGTTTATCCACACCGATACAACAAACTTATGTCAATAAAAAAAGGACACTCGTCATATTTATGTAAAATAACATGCGAGAAATTTATCAAATTAATTGCATTGAGCAAGCAATGCATGAAACGGAAATAGTGACAACTACGTGGAATGGAATACCTACTGGAACGCGTGCAAGCGACTATTGCGTCGCTACCATAGTCTAATATGGTTATATTTTTCTTCATACGCGATACACCGATTATGAATTATTATATGAATATGTCCAAACAATGCGATCTACATTTTTAGATATTGAATTTTTACAGTGATAGAGCCACGGACCGGCTTTCGCTGTTGCACGTATGGGCCGGCTCGAGCCGGGGTGGTATATGGTGGAAGCTTTGCTTCCGCGTTTCGTTTGGTGAGTGCAGGTGGCCTGAGGCCCAAATCTCCCCAGCGACAATCTAGACAGCGACGATTATCCGCGCATCTACGGGTGCCTCTATAGGTCCCATAGCGGTAATGCTGAAACAGATTGACTCTTCGACCACGCCCAAATGGCTACAGATTCGTTGCTACAGCAGATGGTAATTCTCGGCGATTTTAACTTTTTGATTTTATTTTTTTGGTTCTCGTTTACCCTATCATGCGGGTAGATCAGTTTATGACTGTGTTTTGGCATATGGTCTGACACAACTGATTACCACGCCCACGCGGATCGAAAATGTGGAAGATCATGTACCTTCCCTGTTGAAACTTCTGGTAACTTCTCATTCGGACGAATATCAGGTCTCTGTCGATGCCCCTCTTGGCTCCTCGGATCGTTGTCTTGTACCGAGTGTGGTGCCACTTACACTGAAATTGCCTTTACATTCTGCAGGCTATCGCTGTGTTTGGCACTATATGTCAGCCGATTAGGATAGGATGCGGTCGTTCTTTGCATCCTACCTTGGGGGCAGTTGATTTCACGTCGGACGATCCCAACTTTGTTGCTGATTCTGTCGCTGTTGTGGTACTTCAAATCAAATTAAATCAAATCAAATAATTTATTCAGTATCAGAGTTTTTACATAGCAGTGTTTTGAATGAGGAGTTCTTTTAAGTAAATAAATACTTGTGTTAGAAATCCCCCCTCTCCGTAACATTGATTAACGAATACTAATGTGATACCTACTTACTTCAATACTTAATCTAAAAAACATATTTTTAATTTAGATTTTTAAAGTTGCTCTAAAACACAGATTAAGAGTAAATAAAAATAAAAATATAACATTTCTCAACAAATATTACATGGTAGACAACTTCAGGGTATGGAACTTTTTATTCCTTCCTCTGTGGTACCCATCGGAGGCAGATCACAGTCATGGTTTAGTCGGTCCCGTAAAATAGCATCATGCATTAGGCAGGAGTGCTACCGGGCCTGAGCTGACGCATCATTAAATATCAGCACCCTAAAAAAAAAGTACAATTTCGCCTCCAAGTCCTTCAAAAGAGTCATTGCCAAGGCAAAGTCAGAGCACATAGGTAAAATTGGCTCTCTAGCCAAGACTGTCCAAAAGAATTTCTGTCAGCCATCTCTTCCATTTCTGCACAGGGAGGTCGACTCACTGGCCCATGCCGCAAAGGAGAAAGCCGATCTGCTAGACTCTCTATTTGCGTCCAACTCGACCCTCGATGTCGGAGAGAACACACCGCCGACCATCCCACGATGTGAGTGCTCCATGCTGTATGTGCGGTTCACACAGCGCTCGGTTCACAAAGCACTCCTCTCCCTGGATATCCACAAGTCGAGTGGGCCTGACGGAATCCCCCCAATTGTGCTGGGGACGTGTGCTCAAGAGTTGGCACCAGTTCAAACGCGTCTTTTCCGGTACTCCTACTCCCTAGGCGTAGTCCCAAAATCATGAAATACGGCTTTGTCCACCTGATCCCTAAAAAAGGCGACCGCTTAGACCCGTGCAACTACCGGCCTATCGCCATCACCTCCTTGTTCTCCAAAACAATGGAGTCTATTGTTAACTGCCAGCTCATGAGGTACCTTGAGGATCACCAGCTGATTAATGACCGCCAATACGGTTTTCGTCGGGGTCGATCAGCTGGTGATCTTCTGGTCTACCTGACTCATCGATGCACGGAAGCAGTAGCATTCCAGGGAGTTATTGGCTATTAGTTTAGACTTTGTGAAAGCCTTCGATCGGGTTTATCGGGCACATAAAGCGCTTCATTCGAA